GAAGATTCAAGAATTCCAGACTTAGCACCTTATCCATATCAAGAAAAAGCGATGATTGGATAGAGCTGAAACTTTACGGGATATATTCCCAAGGAGAACGAGTAAATTGACAAAACACTGCAGTGTATAGGCTTAGTAAGACTAGATTGTCTTAGTTACGAAAACTTTAGATTGGAGGCGTTAGATACTATCATATGCGTAAAATATGGTATTGTTCAGTGTGAGATAAAAATACTACTATAAAAACAGTGTAGCGAGTGGCCAGTCGTCATGAATTGAACTGTGACCGGTTTAGAGATGATTTTAATGATTAAAGTGGATCGAAATATATATTAGCAGCTCTACATATATATGCAATATGTATGTACAGCTATATGTACATGCATATAATATATATGTACAGCTGCTAATACATATTATTCGCACTATCTTACATATATGTACAACTGCTGTATATATCAAGAAGTATTAGCCAAGAAGGATGAAAGCTAACATTGTTCATCCCCTGGATAACTATTCGCCGATCGTTTCCATTGTAATCGATGGATTCCACCCGATCAACTTTAGGATCAACCCAGTAAACTCGTTTGGCGGCAATATCAACTAAACTTCATAACCACATAATATCGCATAATATTATCAGTATTATATGATATTACTGTTTTGGATCAGACTATGAGGAAAAAGCATCATTTTCTTCAACAAAGAACAAAGAATCCAGTTCTACGCTTGCAAAACTAAGCTTTTGAATTAAATTAAAATAGCAATAAAACTGACCTACAACACCACTCACTTGGTGTGTGTGGGTGTCAACTAGAATGCGCCGTCGAGTTCCATCCATTGCTGCGCTTTCCAACTTGAACTGGTTTGAAAAAACATTTCACTGCAAAGTGAATAACAAAAATGATCAAGCTGGCGTAACTTTGAACAAATAACAAAATTCTTACAAAAAAGTATCACTTTGTTTAAAAAAGGATAAATCCGATTTCCACGGAAATTTCCAACAAGCAACATTCAAATTACTAAGATTGTTGAGGTTATCTGCAAGAAAGTGAGACATGAAAAAGTACCCTCTAATTGGATCAAGGGCGATATCTAACGGTAGCATCAAGCCGTCAGCAATCAGAACAGTTCTTCTCTCGCCATTAAAGGCTGAAATATCAATTCGCCTTGATCCAGACTCGATTATATATAAATGATTCGTAATCCAATCAACGGCCAAATTTCGCGGAAAAATTAAATTTTTCAAGTCAAGTTTCCTGAAATTAAATCCACTTCTTGCATGCTCACGAATAATATCTTTTGTAATTTAAAAGGCGGTAAAACAAACTTAATATTTCTTATATCTCCACTATCATCAATATCGGCACTGAATGCTGAATGTGACAATCGATCGGTCCAGAACATCTTCTTGTCTCCAAAATCGAATCCGATGCCATAAATGAATTCACCGGAAACCAGTTTTTTTGTCTCTTCACTTGGATCATATGGATTTATCCTGGCAAAAAGCTATCCATTAAAACAATAAACTATTAAATATTTATTAAAACACAAGACAAAATTAAGATGAAACAATTAAATTAAGATAAATTAGTTGATCATGATAAAAATTAAATCAAATCGGCTTATAATCAATTGAAGTCCTCTATTAAAAGGCACAAATATTATGAAAGTGAGGGAAATTAATTAGAATGTTTTGATGGGCAATAATGGAAGTCTCTTTCCAAAACTTCGTATGGCATACAGTCGTAAACCACTGATAGTTCTAACGGAACAATAACAAGCAAGAAACCAGCAGTAAATCTATATTTCTTGGATGGAATAAATACCTGTACAATCCCTCTCTCCTTGCGATATACAGTCGCATAGTATCCGAGTCTCGCGATAAACAGTATCCTCGCAGAGTGTGATTGTCACTGCCAGGACCGTGCATCATTTCCAGATGATAACATTCGCCAAGACACGAGCAGGTGAATCCAGGACGGTGATTCTGACAACCCTGGTCGCAGTAACCCCATTCAACACATTCATTGATATCTGATAAATAGAAAATTTTACATTTTACTACCATGATTAAGGTAACTTCTCAGTATGCACTTGATGAAGTAGGGAATAGAAAAGTGCAGCAAATTAATTTGAATTAAAAAAAATAAATTAGACAAAGCAAACCCAACAGACCCACCATGAGCACTGCTGTAAAGTTTCAGTTTTCCAAATTTTCGACTTTTTTTTTTCAGAATTTCATATAAAATGAGAGTTTCGTAGATTATGAAGTGATTTCCTAATAGTTTGCAAAAATTTTTTGTACCGGAACAAGTTCTGTGGAATCGTTCATCCAGTTTGTAGCCGACGGGACAAGTACAGACTCCGCCAGATGGTGATGAATGGCATCCGGCTTGACATCCCAACGATGGACAAAGATTGGATGCTGAAATTTCAGCTTCTCATTCTAGTTTTCAAGCGCAAAATGGATAAAACATGAATTAATTGCTATTTACTTTGTTTATATTCGCTATCTTCTCACTATCAAGCGCTCTTTGCAATAGCATAAAAATTTAACATTAACACTCTTCGCATTCCATGATGAAACTAGAGATATCTACATCACGGCGAACGATTTTTGCTGTTTCACTCTTTTGCTCATAAATTCAATTTCTCATAGTTAAAGGAAGTTGCTGGAAACACTAACAGCAATTCTTTTCATCGGCACCATCTGAACAATCGTTTTTTCCATCACATAATTTAGTTTTATGTATGCAGTGACCCGAACCAGGGCAGTTCCACTGCTGTGGTGGACAAAGATACTGTCCACATCCTTCTTCATCAGAATTATCACCTGCAAATTAAAATCTCATCACATGCCTTCATATTTTTATATTGCTTCTACAATTCTCACCTTACATTATCTGTCAGTTGGGAACTCCAAAGAAGCGATTACATGTAGAACTATAAACCAATTAAAAGCATTTTGTTTAGAAAGAAAAAGCAAATCAAACCACAGTCATCGTAATAGTCGCAACGGAACTTCCGCGGCTGGCATCTTTTGTTTTTGCATTGAAATTCACCACCACTGCATTGTTTGAATTCTAAAAATCTTACATCAATATGCTTATATAGCGGTTGAGACGCTACATGTAATACGTAGGTTAAGGAGAAAATATTTTTTTTGGTAGGAAGAAATATTTCTTCATTGATGATACTAGAATGAGGTGTCATGTATCATAAAAAAGAGAAAAATTAATTCACCACATGTTGGTGGTTCATCTGAACCATCAGAGCAATCACTTGAGCCATCACAAACCCATGACTTTTGAATACATTGTGATTGATCTGCACAACGAAACTGATATTGGAAGCATGCTGTATGGTTGTGCGGGCAGGAATCCTACAATTCCAATTAAAATATTTCAATAAAAAACATCAAGGTACAAAGAGCACAATCTTCTTTCTCTAATGATTACTAGAATCATTGAACTTTTAGGCAATTCAATGATATATATATATATATATATATATATATATATATATATA